AGAAGGGTCAATGCCAATGGTAGCATTTACGCAGCTGATATTTTGAAAGTAATTTAATTAAATAAGGTATATCCAAAAGTAAATTGTGAACTAATTAAATACCATATTATAACATGATGGTTCTATATCATTTGTTACATAAAGCTGGGATCGTGACTTTAACCGTAAACAGTATTCACACCATTATATTGACAGAAGGAAGAAGTTGCATCGTTATAGATGTCTTAAACAGCCTAGAACAGGGCTGTCCAACCTGTGCCCCCCCCCCCCAGATGTTGCTGAACTACTGATCTTTTTAATTGAAAGAATCATGGGAGTTGTAGTTCAGCGACATCTGGGGGCCGAAGGTTGGACAGCCCTGGCCTAGAACCTTCACTAGATCTGCTATTTTTATGTTGTGTACCATGGATGGGCTTCTGGGAACACAGTATATTTTTGTATCTATTTACTGTCGTGCAAAGAATCAATGAGCACAGACTAGTATCTTGCCTCTGGTTAATATATTAAGAAATATTATTTGAGAAATCCCGATGGGTTTGCAGGATTTGTAATATATCCAATCTCCAGTGAATTTCTTCTTAATAACTAATATACTCCTTTACAAAATGCTGATCATGTTGAATACCATGTCATAGGGTGAACAACAACAAAAAATGAATTTTCAGAAACATATGAGAAATGCATCATGTTTTGCTGATGGTTTTTCATTAAAATGGCATCTCAAGGGACCCCTTCTACAAAGACAGAGGGCAGCTTATTATAGTCCCAATTTCTGAATGCAAAATATCAGAACACTTACTTTTAAATTGATCCAATTGATGCTATTTTAATTTAGTAATATGCCTAAAAATAATAATATTCATGAATTGATTGACAATCCACACTGAGCTGCTCAGTCCAGTTATCTATCAAACTAGAGTCACTTAACATCTGCTGAAATTGTCTACACTAATTATAGATTGAATATATTGTAACGATTTCTAAAGAGATACTGTGCCATTGGCACCCATGTCCAGGTGGACATCCAAAAATCTGTTGGGATAAAGCAACAGATTTTTTTATGAACAAGCCGCAGTCATTATCAGCTTCAAGACATCTGTTACATTACAGATCTGGTTGGGATTAGGCAACAATTTTCATTAATCAGAAACTATCATTTCCAAGGATTTCTAACATTTTGTTTACTTATCCCTTATATTTAAAAATATATATTAGAAGGTGTGAAATATGAAATGAAATCCAGAAATCCACACCTCTTCATAATGGGAGCTGACATCCTGGGTCTCTTTCATATGTTATTCAAAGTTCTGTCCTTTACATTTGGCAATCAGAATAGAAAAAGCATAAAAGTAAAGAGGCTCTGTCATGGCTACACTATTTTTTTTTGGATGTCCATCCTGATTATTCTGGTCCTCAGTGTGCTCTAATGAGTTTTCCATTCCACTGGTCTCCTGTTTTCCCATTATTTGATCATTTTCTCCTGGTGCACAATTTTATTCCTATGCACCAACATCTTCTTGGTATTGGCAATGATGATCAGCCCTAGTCTTCTTCTGCCCATACTCCTCCCCAATGTTAAATTTTGATGCTTGTCTGCAGTAGACAAGTTGTCCAGGATCATGTTAGATTATCTTGCGAAGCTATGTAGGAAGGACTGTACAGAAAATAAAGTATTGTGGGAAAGATAACTTGACAAAGGAATTGGAGCTTCAGCCCATGTGAAGATTTGTTAAGCATAGGAAAAATACATAGGATAAGTCCCTACGTTGTCTCATGGAAGAACAGATTATTAAAGAAGAAGAAAAGGAGGAAATAATTGAAAAAAAGGTGACAGAGACGCTGTAAGAGGAGAACTGAAACAATGTTTCTAATTTTCCTCCTCACATGCAATATGTGCCTTAGCTGTGCCTTGATTGAACTTGACTGTGATGCAAAACGCTAAATATTTAATGTACATTTAAAAGAGAACAGCCATCATATGATATAAAAACAAGGTTAGCACAGGTTCTAGGTGATTGTCATCAATCCCATTTTGGACAGTTACAATGGAAACATTTAAAAGCACTGGGCATTAAAGGACCACTATAGTGCCAAGAAAACATACTCGTTTTCCTGGCACTATAGTGCCCTGAGGGTGCCCCAATCCTCAGGGTCCCCCTCCTGCCAGGCTCTAGGGTGTGGAAGGGGTTAAACTTACCTCTTTCTCCAGCGCCGGGCGGGGAGCTCTCCTCCCCCTCTCTTCCTCCTCTCCTCCCTCTTCTTCCGTCACCAGATGAATGCGCATGCGCGGCAAATCACAGTGAGAAGCGCGGAAGCCCTCTAGCGGCTGTCAATGAGACAGCCACTAGAGGCTGGATTAACCCATAGGTAAACATAGCCGTTTCTCTGAAACAGCTATGTTTACAGAAAAAAGGGTTAATCCTAGCTGGACCTGGTACCCAGACCACTTCATTAAGTTGAAGTGGTCTGGATGCCTATAGTGGTCCTTTAAAGATTTGTATAGGTATTAAAACACTGCCAGAACACACCTTTTGACATTCTAGCTAGCTCACTTACAGTATAACCTGGAAGGTTCTGTTAGAAAACATTACACTGTCAAGAATACAATACATTAGCTAAAAGAGATAGTGATGGACTGAAATCTGTTACTGAGTTTTCCAGAAACAAAGGTTGGGGCACAGCAGGTGATATCATTATTATTATCTTATTATATATATAGTGCCAGCAAACTCAATAGCGCTGTACAATGGGTAGACTAACAGACACGTAATTGTAACCAAACAAACGGACACACAGGGACAGGGGGGTTGAGGGCCCTGCCCAATGAGCTTACATGCTAGAGTGAATGGGGTATAGTGACACAAAGGGTATAAGTAGGAGTAATGAAATAGGTTGCTAGAAAAGTATTCACTGAGAACTTAGTAGGTTATTTGTGACAGTTGCAGGAGAGGAGTCATGGGGGGGAATGAAAACCCACTAACAGTTTAAATTATATTCTTTCTCGAAGAAGTGTGTTTTCAAGGATTTTTTTGAAGGAGTAGAGACTGGGTGAAAGTTTAACGGAGAAGGGAAGGGAGTTCCACAGAAAAGGTGCAGCCCTGGAAAAGTCTTGGAGGCGAGCATCAAATGTGGGAGTACAGACAGAGGATCTTCGGCAGAGCGCAGGGGCCTTGATGGGACATACTTATGTATTAGGGAGAATAGGTAGGTAAGAGCAGCATTATGTAGGGACTTGTAAGCAAGCACCAGAATCTTAAATTGAGCCCTATATCTAACTGGAAGCCAATGTAGGGACTGACAGAGGGGAGGTGTGGGAGGCATGGGAGGTGCGAGTGGACAAGAAAATGAGCCTCGCCGCCGCATTCATTATAGATTTCAGTGGTGCAATCTGGGAACACATAAGACCAATGAGAAGGGGATTGCAGTAGTCAAGGCGAGAAAGAACAACGGCATGGACCAGCACCTTAACCGTGTCTGGTGTTCAATAGGGGCTGATGCGAACTATGTATTTGAGATGGAAGCGGCAGGATTTGGTGATCGACTGGACATGAGGGGTGAAGGAGAGGTCGGAGTCAAAGAGAACACCTAGGCACCGAGCCTGCGTGGTAAAGGTGATGGTAGTGCCCATGACTTGGAGGGAGACAGACACAGGAGTAGCAAGACTTAAAGGAGGAAAGACCAGAAATTCTGTTTTAGACAGGTTGAGTTTAAGGAAGTGAGCAGCCATCCAGTTGGAAATCGTGGAGAGGCAGTCAGAGACATGAGTCAAGATGGGCAGAGAGAGATCAGGAGAGGACAGGTAGATTTGTGTGTCATCTGCAAATAAATGATAATGGAAGCCAGTGGAGCTGATGAATTTAACAAGGGAGGCAGTGTAGACTGAGAACAAATAGGGGACCAAAAACAGAACATTGAGTAACGCCAACAGAGAGGGATTGGAGAGAAGAGGTAGAGCCAGAGAAGGAAACACTGAAAAAGCGCTGGGATATAATAAAGGTACTAAAGTTGTAAGTGGTCTTTGCCTGGCAGACCTTTCTCGGTTTTCAAGTACAACTGAGATTTATGAGCAAATCAAAATAATCTATATCAGCATATAAATATATATGGCAGAGACCACTTACAGCTATAGTACCTGTATTATAGATGGAGATCGTTATTTTCATTACACTGTACACTGAAAAGTCATTTTACAAAATGCCTGTAAAAATTTTTTATTTACAGTTGTAAACAAACTAAATAAATCCAACCATCCACCCCTCTCTAAAACAAACAATTAAACTTGACCAACGTTATTCAAAGTTAGGCTTAAAACTTTGCCACGTAGTCACCATTAGTATAACAGAATAGAAGCCACATTTGAAAACACTACATTTTGAAGTCACAATATATTTGTACTTTCTTTAAATATTAGAAGAGTTCTATCTCATTTTGAAGGGAAACTATAGTGCCAGGAAGTTGTTTTCCTCATCTATGCATGCACAAGGGGTTAAAAAAAAACCTTTGTCACTTATCTGGGTCCAGTGCCTATGTCCTTCAGTGCTGGCTCGGGTCTACCTACTTTGGACGCAATTGTGTTAGGATTTTCCCATACGTGAGGATGTCCAACGTCAGGCAACCAAAAGTTGCCTAACAGCTTGAAAGTCCTTATAGTGGCAGTCTGGTAGACACTCACTAGAGGAGGAGTTACATCGCAAAGCTAATTAGTGCAGTTCATAAAAACTGCAATAACAAGCTTTACAATGTTAAGGGTGCTGGGACAATGCACCCAGACCACTTCAATGAGCTGAAGTGGTCTGGGTGCCTATAGTGTCCCTTCACCTCTACTGTCTAAGGGTCAGGGTTAGTCGGTCTAAATCAATCCTTATCTGCTTTGAGAGTTCATGCCTGTGTAGAAATTGTCTATACCAAGAATTGAAACAAGTTGAAATATTTTAGAAAGGCTTTTAAAGGGACACTATAGTCACCTGAACAACTTTAGCTTAATGAAGCAGTTTTGGTGTATAGAACATGCCCCTGCAGCCTCACTGCTCAATCCTCTGCCATTTAGGAGTTAAATCCCTTTGTTTATGAACCCTAGTCACACCTCCCTGCATGCGACTTGCACAGCCTTCCATAAACACTTCCTGTAAAGAGAGCCCTATTTAGGCTTTCTTTATTGCAAGTTCTGTTTAATTAAGATTTTCTTATCCCCTGCTATGTTAATAGCTTGCTAGACCCTGCAAGAGCCTCCTGTATGTGATTAAAGTTCAATTTAGAAATTGAGAAATTAAGGTAAATTACATCTGTTTTTTTTTCATGCAGGCTCTGTCAATCATAGCCAGGGGAGGTGTGGCTAGGGCTGCATAAACAGAAACAAAGTGATTTAACTCCTAAATGACAGTGAATTGAGCAGTGAAATTGCAGGGAAATGATCTATACACTAAAACTGCTTTATTTAGCTAAAGTAATTTAGGTGACTATAGTGTTCCTTTAATAGTATTTCTACTTTCTCACATCATGTTATAAAAGGCAAAGAATCAAATCTTGCTTTACTCCAACATGTAATACTGTTTTCACCAAGAAAAGAGTATTTTTTTAAATTTGTTGTGCCAGCTTTAACATAGAATTGTTAAGGAATCAAGAACAAATAAAGAAATTAGCAAAACTAAATTGGGTCAGACCTTATAATTCCTGGAAAAATCTTTTGTGCTAAAAATAATAATAAAAAAAAAATCCTTTATTCTGTTTCTCATATTTACTTAAATGTCTTGAAACAGTATCTCTACATAGTATTAAAACAAGGCATGCAACCAAGACACACAAGGTACCTTTTAAAATCTAAATGCTATTTACATTGAGTCAGACGTGAATGCTAATACCAAAAGCACGCAAATAAATCTTCACAATCTGGATATCACTCGAAATTCATTTTAATGCCAGATGTTTTAATTTCGCACCTTTAACAGAGCTGCAGCAATAAGCTGAGCTTTCATTTATTGTTTGCAGTTTTTTGTGGCTGTGAAATGTGTTGTGAGAGCCATTGTGTTCACTTGTGAAAGACACATTACATTGTTCGGCAATCAGAAGGCTTAACACATGCAAACGAACTGACATAGCTCTCTATACTCCATTGATTCCAAATTCTTTTAGCGATATGTAGTTTATCAAGATTTGTGCTCCCTTAAATTCTTGCTACCTTACAATTTAATTAAAAGAGTTCAAAAAGAGCAGGGATGCGATACTATTAACAACTACATTTAGTGTGTGTAATAAAGTAAGTTTAAATGCTGTATTGAGTCGTACAAAGCTTTTTGCTGACATTTCCATATCACATTCAGTTCGGTTTGAAAGCTGCTCCTTTATCTACATCTGAAAGGCAGATACCGGTGGAGGGCTTTTCAGAACAGGAGACAATAGTATGAGCTGTCCGTAGAAAGTAATGTTATTGTGAATTTGTAGCCTTCAGAAAAAACAGCCGTATAACACCATGAGGCAGGAAGAAAACTCCAATTTTGCATGATTTGAAGCCCCACAATATATCAATTAAATGGGCTGTTTGACATTCCCATGATATCTGGCATTTTTAATCTTTCTCACAGTGAACTGAAGGTGGGTAATTAGTGCAACAGCACCTTGTAATTGGCAGACAAAAGCTGCAAGATGCACGTTATTACCATACTGTGCCATAACACGGTGCACACATCTTTACATACAGACGGACACAGATATAAACCTCTAAAAAAGCACACACATATTCATAAACATGAACACACAAATAAAATATGTTACAATAAGAAATCAGTGAAATAAATGTAGAAACATAGAATGTGACGGCAGATAAGAACCATTCGGCCCATCTAGTCTGCCCAATTTTCTGAACACTTTCGTTAGTCCCTGGCCTTAACTTATAGTTAGGATAGCCTTATGCCTATCCCACGCATGCTTAAACTCCTTTACTGTGTTAACCTCTACCACTTCAGCTGGAAGGCTATTCCATGCACCCACTACCCTCTCAGTAAAGTAATACTTCCTGATACTATTTTTGTACCATTGCCCCTCTAATTTAACACTATGTCCTCTTGTTGTGGTAGTTTTTCTTCTTTTAAATATAGTCTCCTCCTTTACTGTGTTGATTTCCTTTATGTATTTAAGTATTTCTATCATATCCCCCCCATCTCGTTCTTCCTCCTAGCTATACATGTTAAGTTCCTTTAACCTTTCCTGGTAAGTTTCATCCCTACCCCCCACCCTTCCCCGACAATCACGACTTTCACCCCAATGCAGTGGAAAGATTCAAGACATACTTTGACTGTGTGTGTATGTTTGACAGTATGTCTGTCAGTGTCTGTCTGACATTCTAACACACATATATTCACTGACAGACATGCTGAGACATTTACAGATACATACTGACACACACACAGACATACACTGACCCACAAATATATACTGACAGACATATTGCCACACATTCAGACATATTGACACACACAGACACATACAGACATACTGACACACACACAGACACTGACAGACCGCCATGCTGACACACACAGACATATACACTGACAGACATACTGACACACACAGACACTGACAGACAGACATACACACATACACTGACAGACACATACAGACACATACACTGACAGACATACTGACACACACAGACACTGACAGACAGACATACACACACACTGACAGACATACACACACACAGACACATACACTGACAGACATGCTGTAATACACACAGACACTGACAGACAGACATGCTGACACACAGACACTGACAGACAGACATACACACACACAAAATGTACACTTTTGTACGTTTCCTACCTTGCTTGGCTCAGCCCCGCTCCTCTCTGCCTCCTTGCTGTCTTGCACGCGGCTCTCTGTGGGAGGAAGTAACAACCGCAAGTCACTTCCTCCCATAAAGAACAGAGAGACGCGTGTCGCCCAGCCAGCTACAGGAAAGCAAGGATGGCCCTGATGATGGTACCTGCCATAGGTATTGCTTGAGGTGTTTGGGGACTGAAGCCATGAATGTGGTACTTTTTAATTGGTCCCCATTTGGTGGACAGTGCATGAGGATATCTTTTTTTATTTTATATCAGGCAGCCACTTCTCAATGCAACGATCTATTATAAAATTAAAGATCCCTTGTACAGTGCTACGCCAGGCAATGGTTGTTCTCCCATGTGACTGTCAGGAGCAGGTACGGGGAATAGAACTGTGCTGCTTGCCCCCTATAGATGGTGTGGTGAGATTGTAAGGAATACCTGGCTGTTAAGCAGGTGCTTCTTTTGGGGCTCTGGGCTTTTGATTATCAATTTATGCGGTAAATATTCAGGCCCATTCATATGTGTGATTTTTATAATTGGCTTTGTTTGTTATGCAAATGCAAATTAAAAATACCCTTTAAATGCATTTAAAAAGTTAAACTGACTGACTATTATTCATGAGAAACACAGTTAGCTGCAAAATGCTCAGTTCATGAAATCAGTCTCTGGAGGTGTGAGAAGTCCTTCACACATTCAGTTGAAATCAGGTTGTCTAACGTGTTGGTTGTAATATTGTAATGTGATAAAATCTACCTGCCATAAAAATAGTCAATGCTTTTGCCAAAAAAAGTCATGAAATACTATAACCAACAGGCAAATATTCCACTGCCCAGATATCATTCCATATTCCAAGCACCAAGTAGCGGGAGTGGGTAATAAAACATGTATACCTTCTTCTGCAAATTACCTTATATAGTGTAACTTGTGCATGAAATACCCTGGGCAGTAGGCATTGTGTGTGAATAGAGGCCAACCATTGCATCAACATTTAATTTCCACAAGTCCATTATTAACCCCTTTATTAAGCCCTGTACCAAGTTACTTAAAGCTGTTAAGCACTAATTTGAAATTTGAGAAGAGAAGCTAACAAATTAAAAGGACACTCTAAGTACATGAGCCGCTATATTTCAAATAGTGGGTTTGGTGCATCGATGCTGCCCATTATGTCTGACAATGTGATACATTCACGTTTTATTTTTCAAAGGTCTTCACATTCTACGTCGTCATGCACAGCAATAAGATATACAATGCAGATAATTATTCTCTTAGAAAAGTATTGGATTCATGGGCTGTCAGAATGCGACATTTGCAGCGCATGTGCCAGAGCTTGTTGAGAAGTCTTGCATTGGACTGAGATCGGCAAGAATGATGACTACAGGTACTTTTAACTGCTTTTGTTTTACCTTTTTTATTTTTTTTAACAAAAGGGGGTCGTGAGTCTAAACACAGTAAGGTATGCATCTGACTTTAAAAATAATATATTTACAATTGAAATCATTCTATTCCTCTAATCTAGGAGAAACAGAAACTGCCTGTATTGCTATATCTAAAAAAAAAAAAGCTAATTGAAACAATTTTACATTTTCATGTATTCCGGCTTAATAAATACATTGAAGGGTCCTATTTTAGATGTTATTTTATGCAATAGTTTGAATAGGGTTTGCAGGTAGAATTACCATCTCCCCCTCATGCAGAAGGTTTCAAAAATTAATAAATAAAATGATATAGCTTACCAAAAAATAAATAAATACATATGTTGGTATATGAGTATAATGATCACATATAGTATGTACAGTCCCAACCAGTGGCAAAAATGTAGTCTGCTAACTTTGAGACATATTGCCTCCAGTGCAGTAAAGACAGAGGCAGTATTACCAGCCTCTTCGAACATTTGAACCAAACAATTTGACTGATCATAACCTCGTTGGGAAATTGTTTCTCCTCTGGGTTAAGACCAAAGCTAAAGTATATGTTTACTGAAATGAGTCTTAAGACAAATTCTGTTTTGTAATGCTTTGCATTACGTAATGCAAATATAAATTAAACCCATGCAGACACAGGGTAGAGAAGGAAAGAGATTAACAACAAAGGACACAGTGTCAGAGACATGAAACTTTCTATATTAGTGAGGCGGTTCCACATTCAGAAAAAAAGAGTAAAAGATATGTGTGGTTAAATTAAAGAAACCATTTCATGCTTTGAATATTGGCCTAAATCGTGAAAAGGAGTTTTATTTTTATCCCATTACCATATTGTGGAATAGTGTGTGCAACCAACATGCCTCGCATCCTGATTCCAGAGAATGCATAAAGGACTTGAGACATCTCTGGAGACTGAATTCATGAATTGAACATTTTACAGCTCATGCTACTGAGGATCAAAGGGCCTGTCTCTTGCTGTTCTGATTTAATCCGAAGACCATCTAAACAA